TGGAAGAGGGCGTGGGGGGGGGGCGCGAAGGGGTTAAACCTCCCTGGCTGGACCGCGCCGACTGTGGAAATGGGGCCCTTGTCACCCGGAGAGGCAGCCTGGGGGCTTCGGCAGGCCCATTGGGGGGCAGAGCTCCAAGCACTCCCGTAGCCTTTCTTCCCTGAGCAGATTTGGGGGTGCCCTGTTTCTCCCCGTCTCCAATGGTTGCTTTCTCAGCTCGATTGACCCCACGGGGGGCTTGGCTTGCTGGGTTACTCGTTTGTAGACTCAAGTCATTAAAGGAGCATCCTTAGGTTACTGTTGCAAAGAAAACTAAAAATAAGTCGCCAGGACTGTACTTTTACTCGCGAGTGACATCTTTTGCACGAATCCATGTCAGCCTGCCTGACACTATGCACCCTGTCACAACAGTATCTAAAGTTAGGGGATGTTTATAATAATCCCATAGAGGAAAGAAAGTAAAATGCACCTTTCGATTTTAGGGAGATGTATGTGTAGAGTTGAGTTGGAGTCACACTCCTCCCCTCCCCCATGACAGATACTCTGTATAAAAAATCGACATGTGTTATTATTTGTCAAGTTTGCTGTAGACTGCTGATTTGTTAACATCGAATCCCTAGAAGTTATTGCGCTTTTATGCCGTCTCAATGTGCTTTTGTATTAAATATGGGGGAATGAAACAAAGTAGCTATTCGGTAAACTGGTGGCCGGTAAATCCTAACCCTTTAAAGTATTGGTTTTTCTTGCCTTTTTGGAAATGAAGTCAATTTTAATAACTGTTGCAATTAATGCGTGTTGTGGAACTTAAAACGTGAAAACCTTTTAAAAAATAAATATACAGCCCTAACCGGTTTGGCTCAATGCAGAGAGCGTCGGCCTGTGGACTGAAGGGTCCCAGGTTCCATTGCGGTCAAGGGCATGTATCTTGGTTGTGGGCACGTCCCCAGTAGGGGGTGTGCAGGAGGCAGCTGATCGATGTTTCTCTCTCATCGATGTTTCTAATTCTCTATCCCTCTCCCTTCCTCTCTGTAAAAAATTAATAAAATATATTTAAAAAAAATAAAAATTAAATCTACAGAGAGTTGCAATTTTGTTAGATTATTGGTACTGTAGTTAGTTTGCACTAGAAGTTTCTCCTTTAAACTTTTTGTTCACGTGTACATCTACTCTTTAGTATTTAGTATCGTACTTTGTACAAAAAAGGGACTTAGTAGTTGGACAATTTTTACAAATGTGTAGTTAAAAGATTTTAAGATACTTGGTATTTGCTTTTTTCTCAACTTAAAATATGCATGTAAATAGTTTATTATAGTATGGGCAGGTTCAAGGGTTATTGTGAACTGATGTGTAATAGAACATTCATGGTGTCGGCCGGTGTGGCTCGGTTGGGTGTCGTTGAGCACCCAAAAGTTGCCGTGTTTCGATTCCTGGTCAGGGCGATTGATGTTTCTCTGTCATCTATGTTACTATCTCTCCCTCTCCCTTTCTGTCTCTGAAATCAATAAAACAAAACTATGTTTTAAAAGAAAGAATATTCATAGTGATTTTGAAATGAAAAAAGCATGTTCAGGCACAATTCACTTCCATTATTATAGGCACTAATCACAATGCAAAATTGATTGAAATGTTAATTAGCAGTGATAATATGTGAACCTAATTGTAATTTTGTCTTCATTCATTGTTCTAGTACTGTATTTATGTTTTATACAACAATATGGCCTATATACATCTTCATAAAATTGGAGTGGCAAAAGTTAGCTGAACATAAATGCCAGCAGCACTTTGGGGTTATTCTTTTAAAGTATGGTTTAAATGATATTAAGTTCTAGCATGGAGAGTTTAGCAAAGGAAATAGTATGATTTCTCTCTTTTAAAGTACAGTAATGAAAACAAGTAATGAAGTTATAGGTGACGAGATTTAATTATTGGATCCTGCTTGAGTCAGGTTGAGCATTTTAATAAATTTTACTCAGTTACCTGCTGTCCTAAAGGTCCTTCAACCTTAAAGGCCATTCATTCATTAATTCAACAAACATTGATTGAACGCTTACCCTGAGCTAAGCACTATGATATGCATATTGCTTGTTTACTATTGGGAATAACAACCACAAATTAACAGTAAGGGTGCTGTTTATCTTTAAAAAAATTTTTTTATTGATTTCAGAGAGGGAAGGAGTGGGAGAGAGAGATAGAAACATCAATGGTGTGAAAGAATCATTGATCTGCTGCCTCCTGCTTGTCCCGCCACTGGGGATGGAGCCCACAACCCTGGCATGTGCCCTGACTGGGAATTGAACCTCCTGGTTCATAGGTTGATGCTCAACCTTTGAGCCACACCAGCAGGGAGTAAGGGTCCTGTTTTAAAATTGGATTAAGGTTACAGTTTTAAAACTTTATATATATTTTGTCTTATTTTCATTCTGTTGATCGAATTCTGTTTCCTGAGTTGACATGAAACAGTTAGCTTTCAATATTTTAACAAATACAAGTGATGAACTTTGACAATTGAAATATAAGTACCTCTCTAATTTATGAATATTTGTTGTTGAGAGGGAACTGATTAAATTATTTGGGATAATTAATTTGAACAGATTAGTTCTGCCTTAAACCAGAACAAATTTTTGTGATCATTGAAGTCATTTATAATGACATCCCCACAATAATGCTTCCTATACCCTATTAGATATCATGCGGCTACTGCTGTCCTGGTCATCTGCAGCAGGCTCACCTCAGTCTTTTCATTGCCTTGAAATAGTGGGGCCCCCACATTTTACACTATGGAGTATTTTAGATCCAATTTTCAGCATATGGCAGAGTGTTACTACAGGGTGTCCCCCCAAAAATGTATACACTTTGAATGATTATAAAGTCAGTGTTTATTAACATACAGTTTATTTTCAAAATTTAAAAGAATCTATAGAAGTGTGTGTACATTTTTGGGGGGACACCCTATATATTGATGAATATCTTTATATCTGACAATTGTATTAATAATTCTCGAAATACATTTTTATTGGAGTCTTACATAGGAGCAACTAAAGTATATAAAATTATTTATATACAGGATACTTGGAGATACCTTTTTTTCTTTGCATACTGGCAGCAAAATATTGAAACATATCCTGACTAGTCATACTGTTTAAAGTTTGTGAGTTGATGGTTGTTGCCTCAGTGGTTTCCACAGAACAGCAGTGCAGATGAATGGTATCCAGGGCCTCGCCCTCATGCTCTGGAGCCCATATTGTTGGGACCAGAGTGTACTGAAATTATAGTGAATAATAAATAAGTGGATCTGCCTCGTTCTGAACTCCTCTAGAGCAAAAGTTAGGATATATATTCTAGAGCTTTTTTTTTAAAAAATGTGGAACTGGCATGATTTAATAGTGTTCACATAGGAAAACTTAAAGGAGAAAATGATTACAAAGCTTAATGGTTATTTACTGCCAAGCCTGGTGACACATTTACTTTGTGCTTTCTTTGCTCAGAAGAGAGTATTCAAGTACTTGAGAAAAGTTGTATCTCTCTACTTGAAGTAGTTACATCAAGGTTATTTTTGTTTGTTTTAGCGTTTTTGCAGATTTCAGACATGTAAGTACTTGCTAATCGATCTGGTTTTTCAAGTGGCACATTAAAGGTGGTTGCTGAGGACATTTCTTACTTTCTAATATGCCAAGTATGAAAAATAGGAAGAGTTTGCTTTTGAATTGGTAATTAGACTATTATATTTCTATTAACTGCCACACATACAAAAATCACTGTGGCACCAAACAGATAAATCTGTTTGCAATGGAATTTACTGGCCTTAGGCCATTGGATTACTGTCATTTGTCACTTTAGTGCTACTTCAGCAGTGTAGATGTTACATGTGCTTGGACTGCAATTTTCCTGTTTATTGAACTGCTCTCCCCAAAAGTCTTTATGACCATTTCTGTCCATTGGCTGGATTAAGAATTTCTGTAGGTATACTAGTAATAAAGGTAGCCCAAGGGGTATGTTCATAGTATTTGTTTCAAGACTCAAACATTGTAGAATCTATCATAAACCTAGATGTGGAGTCTTCAGAATGTAGACTTTTCACGACCTGGCTACTTTCTATTTGAAGGCTCCTCGGCCATACCCCATTTTCAGTAGAAGAGCCGAGAAACCAGAAGCTGTCAGCCAGTTAACTCCATTCTGCCCTCTGTCTTGAAGCATGCCATGCTGCGGTTGTCCTCTCCTGTGAATGGGGTAGGTGAGGTATTGAGGTAGAAGTGTGGTTTGGGACTGAGAGAGAGGGGCAGTGCGGAGAACTAAAGCATGTATAGTGTTAGCCCAGTGCCTGCCACCAAGTGTCTACACTCTCATGATGACTAGTCTGATTTTCAGGCCCATCCCACTTTGTCTCTGCAGCTTTATTGGTTACCATTCTTTAGATCAATTCTCAATTTATTTTTCTGCTATCAGCTCAAGGGCCACTTCCTAAGCCTGCACTCTCTTACTCAAGTATTAGAAATGTGTTAGAAATGAAAGTGCATCCTAATAGACAGGCTGGG